TTGCTCCTCCAGAATGTTGTCTTTTGTCCTCAATGGAGGGTTTGGTCCTGTTGGGTGCCTGGAACAGGGAATGAGCATGGGGTAGCCCATGGGTAGGAAGGATCAGGAGACCTGCTGGTGAGGTATGGCCATGGTAGCCCACCATGGGTCAAAGGCTGAGTGTGCTGAGGGCAGCCCTGTTGGCACTGCTGTGGGTGGAGGAGCTCTGGGGGATGGTGGGTTCCCATTCCCTGGGGTTTGTGGGGCTTGCACCTGCAGCAGAACTCTGTATGACTGACATCCTGGTGCCTGGAGTCACCCAACTCTTCAGAGATGTCCATGAGCATCTCCTCAGTTATCATTCCTTGATGGCCAGAAGGAACCAAGAGGACCTCCTGCCCAGTGTGTGCTGCTGCAGCATGTACTGCTCTAGCTCCTGCCTCACCCAGGATGGGGAAGGAAATGGGGCAAGATCTGCACCTCTTGGCAATTGCTCTTCAGGGGTGATTGCCTCCCCTGGTAGGACTGAGTCTTGTTTGCCATGTGTCCTCCTGGGTTCAGCTCCCAGGCAAAGCTGCAGCTGCCATGTCCCTCCCAGGCTGAGGAGCAGTTGCTGCTGCTTTCTCCTGGTGTAGATCCGTGCAAACTACAAGAAGTCACCCTGCAAACTCCTCTTTGCTGAGCTTCCACATTCCCCCTGCAGCAATGAAAACCCATCCAGCTGAAGGAGAAACAGACCCTGGGGGAATCCCAGCCTGTCTCTTGCACAGCTGAGGTGGGTGGTGGGGTCTTGCCTTGCTTTCTCCAACCCCCCTGGTTTATTGGTTGCTAATTCAGACTCTGTGCCAGCACTTCCAAGATGGGTTCTCAGAGCAGCATCTTCATGGGGTCCTCCTCCCACCATGGTCTGCCCACCACTGCTGTGGAGATCTGAGCATGTCAGAGCCTGGGAGAGAGGCAGAGAGAAGTCCCTGCAGATGAGGGATGTGTTGGCTCATTGGACATGGATCTGGATTATTTTTTCTTTTGATGGAGAAATTAATTAATGTATTTCCTTTGTTTGGAAGTAAGAAATTTCTCAGGGGTGAGACAGGGATTTCCCCTGGAGGACCATGTGGCCTCCTCAGTCTCAGGTGAAGGGTGAGGGGTTCTCCTGGCCAGGTATACAAGCAAGATGACTCTGTTACAGGCTGTTATTCAGGAAGGGAGGTGTTTGGAAATCAACCATTAATGGGTGGTGGAGCAAAAACCCACCAACCCCACCACCACTGAAACTCATCCTGGCTTCCCATCCTCTTTTGCAGGCAGCAGGTTCACTCTAATCCCTGGGGACCAGCCAGTCATCATTTTCTGTAGTTGAGGCAACTCCTGCTGAGTGCTGACCTGCCAACCCACCTCCAAATGGGCTCCAGACAGGGCAGGAATTTGGTGGAAAAGCTGTTCAAAAAGGGGGTGCAGGGTCCACAGTCTGGGGGTTCCACCTTGCACCAAGAAGGTTGATAAGCATAAGCCTGAAAGAAAGGAATCCATTTTTTGGGTGGGAGAAGAAGGAAGCTCAACTCATTTAGTTGTCTTGGAGATGATTCTTTTGCCACTTGGAAGCACCAGAAGAGGGAAAGGAGCTTTTGGGTAGCAGAGTCTTTGTACAAGTAGAAGGAAATCTAATAGCTGGGAGCCAAGCAGTGTCAATTCAGCCTGAAGTTAATGGAAGCTCTTTTTTTTATGAGAAGATAATTGACCATTGGAAAAAAAAATCTGCTTCAAACCTGCCAGTTTCTACTCCTCCTTGTCTTGTGTCAAAGCAAGATGTCCTTGAGCCAGCTGAGGTGGATGTGCAGCTCCAAGGAGATGAGCAGTTCTTCAGCTGAGGAGAAGGGGCATCTCTGCATCAACAACATCTGCCTTGCTCCCAGTTTGCCTTCAAGAAAAGGCTTTTACAAATGCAAAAGGCTTCAAAATATTCTCTTTATTTGGGGATTTTTTTTTATACTGGTGTGAATGGTTTGTTCTTTTCCATTATAGTCACTGCTATTAACACACTCTCTGTGCACCACAGTCATTGATAGTTAAGATAAATAACAAATAACTAATGTAGGGTGGTTTTTTTTTTTCAAAATAATGCAGTGTCTAGTTAGCAGTGGGTGAAAAATGTTGTTTTCTTTGTAGATGAAAGTGCCACTGGTGTTTTAATGAAAAAACCAGCTACTCTGATAAAATAAACACTATTACTGAACTATGTAAACAGATACTCAGTTTAAAAAGAAATTCCATAAATCTGAATGACAACATTTCTGGACTAGCTGTTTTCCAGAACTCTTCCTAGTGGGAAAATTTGGAAAGAACTATTTTTGCTGTTGAGTCTTGGACTGAAACCAAATTTTGAAATCCTGGTTTCCTGTGAACTGGAAACCACTGGCTGTAACCGGGAGTAACGAGCAACCCCCTGTCTGAAAATGATTTACTGCCAGAAGTGGGTGCAAGGAGCACATCTGAGCTGAGGCACTTTTGGGCACTTTTTGGGAAAAGGGGAGTTGAGCTGCTCTGTTGGGCAGGCTGAGCAGCAGCCACTCCTGCACCCAGGCCTGTCTCTGAAATCATGAGTCTGCTCAGCTCGTCTTCCTTTGTTTTTGTTCAACGTAGTGAAAGTGGAGAAGGTGGAGATGGTTTCTGGGGGTTGGTGGCAGGATGCTTGGGTTTTGGTGGGGAGGAGCAGCAGCAGGACATGGTCATGGGCAGGAACTCTCCATTGTTGTGGCCGTGGGAACTGGCAGCATTTGTTGGGTTGCAGGATGGTGGCTGGGGATCCTGGCTATTTTGGGGTTCTCCTGGTTCAGCTCTGGTTGAGCTGGTGTGGGGGTGGCTGTGTATCTTGTGCAGAAGATGCTTTTTCTTGAGAGCTGCAGAGCCCTAATGCTGGATTGTTTCCCTACCTGTCCTGGGAGGGCAGAGAAAGTGAAGCTGCCAGACAAGTTCTGTGTTTGTGTCCTGTGTGTGTGGGATGGATGCTTTGCAGCATCCCTGCAAGGCTGCTGGCATCCCCAGGGCACACCCCGAAAGCAAGGGCAGATTCCTGCTCTCCCTACAGCAGAGGGACAGAATATCCTCCGGGAGCATCACCTTGGCCTCAGCACAGAATCACTGGGACCTGTTCACTCTCTCCCACAAGCATCACACTCTTCCCCCTGTGCTGAAACCCATGGGTGTGATTTCTAAACTGGAACGTTGTCCTGTTTTCTTTAAAGCAGCATTGGGCACAGAGCAGAAAAATCATAGAATCATAGAATCAGAGGGGTTGGAAGGGACCTCTGAAGATCATCAAGTCCAACCCCCCTGCTGCAGCAGGAACACCCAGGGCAGGTCACACAGGAACGTGTCCAGATGGGTCTGGAAAGTCTCCAGAGAAGGAGACTTCACAGCCTCTCTGGGCAGCCTGTCCCAGGCTCTGTCACCCTCACAGGGAAGAAGTTTCTCCTCATGTTCAGGTGGAACTTCCTGTGTTGTCACTTGGTGTCGTTTCCCCTCATCCTGTCACAGGCACCACTGAACACAGACTGGCCCATTCCTGACACCCACCCTGCAGATATTCACATTCATATAGACATTCATCAGGTCAGATGTCCCAGTCCTTTCATCATCCTTGTAGCCTCTGTTGGACTCTTTGCAGCATCTCCCTGTCCCTCTGGAACTGGGGAGCCCAGAACTGGACACAACACTCCAGATGTGACCTCAATGGGCAGAGTAGAGGGGCAGGAGAACCTCCCTTGACCTTCTGGCCACACTGTTCTTCATGCATCCCAAGACACCATTGGCTTTCTTGGCCACAAGGGCACATTCCTGTTCCATGAATAACTTGTTGTCCACCAGGACCCTAAGGTCCTTCTCCATGGGGCTGCCTTCTAGCAGGTCAACCCCTCATCTATACTGGTGCACGGTATTTTTCATCCCAAGGTTTAGGGCTCTACACTTACTCTTGTTGAACCTCATGAGGTTCCTCTTTGCCCGGCTCTCCAGCCTGCCCAAATCTCACTGAATGGCTGTACAACCTCCAGGTGGATCAGCCAACCCTCCCAGCTTCATACGATCAGCAAACTTGCTGAGGATACACTGTCCCCTCATCCATGTCATTGATGAAGATGTTGACTAAGACTGGGCCCAGCACTGACTCCAGGGGAACACCACTAGTCACAGGTCTCCAACTGGACCTGATGTTGCAACAAGGGTTCACAACCACAGACCAGGAGGATGTAGACAGACAGTGGGAACCACTGGTGGAAGTGTCTGTCCAGTGTGGGTCTGATGGGGCCATCTGGCCCATTCCTGTGCTGGATGGGGAACACCACACACTTTAGCTCAAGTACTGGGGTGCCACAAAGTGCATGTCCCTTCTTGTGCCATCAGTGTAGTCAGGCCAACCTGTAGCTATTTGGGATGTAAGACACTTCGGTGCTGGAAGCAAGATGAGCTGTAGAAAGGACAAGGAGGCTTTGCTGTCCATGTGGCTCAGGGGGACTTCTCTCTTCTGGTTGGCAGTGGCATCACCTGGTCAGTTTCAACCCAAATCACCTGTAGAACGTTGGTTTCATTTTTTAGTACTTTTAAACCCTAAAAGTGCTGTTCCTTCCTGTGTGCTGCTGCATCACCAAGGATTCTGCCTGCCATGCAAAACGCTGGGGGAAAAAAACGTCCCCCTTTTGCAAAAGAAACTGGGAGGTGGTGGGGGAAACCTACTCAGGCTGTCAAACCCTGGATTGTGAGGAGGGAAGTCCAGCTGGGCTGGTGGGTGGAAGAGTCTGTGCCCTCGTGTGTTGCAGGAGATGGGCCAGGGAGCAGTGGGTCATGGATGGGAAAGCAAACGGGTGGAGGGACCAATGCCAGGATCCTGCCCAGCTGAGGGCTGACCAGAGGGCTCTGCACAGGCTGGGCTTGATAGCTGCAGTCCTGGGCTGGCTCCTCTGCACCCCTGTCCTTTTCCCCAGCCTCAGGTGGCCACTGAGTTCTTGTTTCACCTTCTTCCTGCAGAGACGCTGATGGACTCCACGACGGCAACGGCAGAGCTGGGCTGGACGGTGCATCCTCCCTCAGGGGTAAGTTGTCCTGGCTCTTTCTGGGGGCCTGGAGCCCATCCTGCCCTCACAGAGTCATAGAAGGGTTTTGCTTGGAAAGAAACAAGTCCCACCATTCCCCCAGCCCTGCCAAGGCCACCCCTGCCCCATGTCCCTCAGCACCACATTTATGTGGCTTTTAACCCCCGCCAGGGATGGGGACTCCCCCCCTGCCCTGGGCAGCCTGGGCCAGGGCCTGACAACCTTTGCCAGGGAGAAATTGTTCCCAAGATCCAACCTAAACCTCCCCTGGTGCAACTTGAGGCCATTCCCTCTTGTCCCATCCCTTGTTCCTGGGGAGCAGAGCCCGACCCCCCTGGCTCCAACCTCCTCTCAGGCAGCTGCAGAGCCAGCAGGTCTCCCCTCACCTCCTTGTCTCCAGGCTGGACACCCCCAGCTCCCTCAGCTGCTCCTGCTCACACTTGTGCTCCAGCCCCTTCCCCAGCTCCCTTGCCCTTCCCTGGACACGCTCCAGCCCCTCCATGTCCTTCCTGTCCTGAGGGGCCCAGAACTGACCCCAGGATTCGAGGTGCCCCCTCCCCAGTGCCCAGCACAGGGGCACATCCACTGGTGCTGGATGAAGACATTTCTCCAGCCCTCACCCCAGGCCCGACACACTGCGCAGAAGAACAGAAGTGACCAAGAAAAACCCCCGTGGAGGAGATTAAACTCATCTCCCGACAGCCCTGCTGCCCTGCCCCATCCCCAGGAGAAAGCCCCGGGTCTGGTTCGCCCGCCGGAGGGGGATGGCAGCCCCACAATGGGCAGGAGCAGAGGTCAAGTCCTTTTTCTCTCCTCGCCCAGCCTTTCTTGTTTGTGGTGTTTCCATATGTAAAGCACGCCCTGCTCCCCGGCACTAATGAGGCCTGGGCCTGCTGGAAGCCAGCTCCCTCAGCTATTGTGCTGCCTCCTGCTTTTCAGCTCCTGGCATGTTAATTAGAGAGCAAGGAGAAAAGGAGAGGCTTCTAATTAAGTGTCCAGGCTGCACAGGGGCTGCTGAGCGGGAGTGACTTTCTCTCCCCGCTGAGAAAAAAAGGGGGCTCAGGAGCTTACGGAGGTGCAAGGGGATGCTGGAGGTCCTGAGCCTGGTGCTGGGGGTTCTCCCAGCTTCTCTGGGACCAGCAGGATGGAGGTGCCTGCCTGGAAGGTTCAGGACAGCCCTGCTGGGGTTTGCCTCCTGTCCTGTCCCCCCCTGGGTGGGCTGACACGGTGCGTGTCGTGCCCTGTGCTGTGCTGGTGCTGCAGCACCTTCATGGCTTCTCCCAGAGTGGCCCTGGCAGGACAGGGTGTCCCACCCATGGTGGCTTGGCTTTGGCAAGGCTGGGTGCCTGGAAGACAAAAGCTGCTGGGTGCTTTTCCCCTTTGTTGCCTCTTTGGTGACAATTAGCGAGCCAAAAGCCCAGGCAGCTCCTTTACCTCCCTCCATCTGTGGAGCTCTTGGGCTGCTCAGAGGTCTCCCCGTGTCCACCTGCCACTGTCTGATGTTCATCCCCAAGCTGGAGGAGCTTTCCTTCCACCTGTGACTCCTCCCGAGTTACAAGTGGTAGAACAAGAAGATATGGCCTCAAATTGTGGCAGGGGAGGTTTAGATTAGTTATTAGGAGCAATTAATTCCCTTAAAGGCTTATCAGGCCCTGTCTCAGGCTGACCAGGGCAGGGGGGGAGTCCTCATCCCTGGAGGGGTTTTCGAAGCCCTGGAGATGGTGCTGAGGGACATGGATCAGTGGTGGCCTTGGCAGGGCTGGGTTAGCACATGGACTTGATGACTTTAAAGGTCTTCTCCAACCAAAACGATTTGATGGTTCTCTGATTCTGCCCGGCCAGGACTGAGCTCTTCAGGCTCATGTCCTGAGCCCTCCCTGGGGGGACCTGCAGGGGTGGACATGGATGGGGGAGGTTCTGAGCATCTCTGTGTATCAGTACCTGATTCACTGCTGTGGAGTGGGCACCAGGAGGGGTCCAGGGCAGGGGAAGCAGTTGCTTTCCTGTGCCTTTTCCTGGATTCCGTCACCCCCCTGCCAACCAGTACCCTTAAAACCGGGGAGATCCTGCCATTTTCCACTGCCACGGCAAATTTATTCCTGGAGAATCCACCGAATGCTCCCCCTGCCACTGCAGCAGATTTGCAGCCACTGCCAGAGTGGTTGGAGCTGCTTGGGAACCTTTCCTGTTGGGCTGTTGGCCTTGATGTGTGAGGAGCAACTTGTCTCCCCTCTGCAGTCCTCCAGGCCCCTGTGGGGATGTTGGCAGGCTGAGCGTGCTCTGCTCCTGCAGGATTTTCCCTCTGGACCTTGGTCCTGGCACTGGTGCTGGATCTGAGCAGTGTGGCCACACTGTCCTGGCTCTCATGGTCCCACATCCAGGACAGGGCTGTGCTCAGGGTTTCCCATCCATGGGAATCAGCTCGGCTTCCACTTGAGTAGGTTTATGAACAAGTTGATGAGAAGCTGTTCCAGCTGGTCAGGAGTGTCACAGGAGAGCTGGACCCTGGTCCCTGCCATGAGCACCATGAGGAGAGGGGGCAGCATGGGAAGGTGCTCTGCTCTCCAGGAAGATTGGGGAAGATGCTCTGATGAGCCTGGTGAAGGGATCTCCTCACACAAGGACCATTTCTGAGGGTGGTGAGAGCCTGGCCCAGGTTGCCCAGGGAAGCTGTGGCTGCCCCATCCCTGGCAGTGTTGAAGGGCAGGTTGTATGGGGCTTGGAGCAGCCTGGGCTGGTGGGAGGTGTCCCTGCCCATGCAGGGGGTTGGAACTGGATGATCTTTAAGGTCCCTTCCAACTCAGACTTTGATTCTCTGATTCCATGACTTGGCTGCCAGCAGCACTGTGCCCCACGGCTGTTGATGGTGGCAGGGCTTGGTGGGACCATGCACCTTCTCTGCAGGCACCTGGCGGGGTGGGTGGGGAACACCAGTTGGGTGCAGAGCCCTTGACTTTCTCTGCCTTGTCCACAGTGGGAAGAGGTGAGCGGGTACGACGAGAACATGAACACGATTCGCACCTACCAGGTGTGCAACGTCTTCGAGTCCAGCCAGAACAACTGGCTCCGCACCAAGTACATCCGGCGGCGCGGAGCCCATCGCATCCACGTGGAGATGAAGTTCTCCGTGCGGGACTGCAGCAGCATCCCCAACGTCCCAGGCTCCTGCAAGGAGACTTTTAACCTCTACTATTTCGAGTCGGACTTTGACTCGGCCACCAAGACTTTTCCGAACTGGATGGAGAACCCTTGGATGAAGGTGGACACGATTGCCGCCGACGAGAGCTTCTCGCAGGTGGACCTGGGCGGGCGGGTGATGAAGATTAACACCGAGGTTCGCAGCTTTGGGCCTGTCTCCAAGAATGGTTTCTACCTGGCCTTCCAGGACTATGGAGGCTGCATGTCCTTGATCGCCGTCCGCGTCTTCTACCGCAAGTGCCCCCGCGTGATCCAGAACGGGGCCGTCTTCCAAGAAACCCTCTCAGGAGCTGAGAGCACCTCGCTGGTGGCAGCCCGTGGGACCTGCATCCCCAACGCGGAGGAGGTGGACGTGCCCATCAAGCTGTACTGCAACGGGGACGGGGAGTGGCTGGTGCCCATCGGCCGCTGCATGTGCCGGGCGGGCTACGAGTCGGTGGAGAACGGGACCGTCTGCAGAGGTAACCGCTCGCCTTCCCTCTTGCTCTGCACACCCACCTCCCTGCTGGTGGGTGATGGCAGTTGGATGTGCAGCTGGGAACTGCACAGGTGACCTCCTTGCGCGGGGAGAGGAGCGTAAAGGGATGTGGGAGAGGAGCAGGTGTGTGGACACACTGTCTTCTTCTCCAGCTCCTCAGTTCTTGCCCTGGGCTCTTCCATGCGCTGCTCAGGTTCTGTGTTGCTTCTCAGTGCTCAGAGCCACAGGGTCCAGGGGTGCTGGCCTGTTGGTGGTGCCCTCTGTGCTCTCCAGGTCTTGGTGTAGCTGTGGTGGGAGCCACAGATCTGCAGTCACCTCCCAGGAGACTGGGACTGTTGTCACTTCTGTTTGCATGTTCATCCTGTGCCTTCGCAGGGGCTGAAGTGCTTCTGGCGTGAGGGGAGCGTGGGCACCCAAAGGTGATGATGCAGTGGGAGGAAAAGGTTGTCTGCAGCATTTGCCTGGTGAGGTGCAATTAGGTGGGACTTGGTCATGGGGTGTTCAGGGCCAGGCTCAACTCTCCTGCCTGGGCACATCTGGGCCTGGTCCCTGAGCTCCCTCAGCAGCCAGAGGTCTCCTGCTCCTGTATATGTTCTCCTGCTCCTGTAGGTGTTCTCCTGCTCCTGTAGCTGTTCTCCTGCTCCTGTAGATGTTCAAAGTAGACTCCAAGAGCACCTGCTCAGCTCAGCTGAGCACCTTGGACCCAGCATGGTCCTACAGGCAGAGCATGCCCCAGGCTAGTGAAGGGCCACCCCTGCAAGCACTGTGCCCAAAGCCATCTCCGTGCTCCTCCCCAGTCACACAGATATGCAGGGGAAGGAAAGGCTACATGGGCTTGGAGAGGGACAGGAATGAACACGATTCGCACCTACCAGGTGTGCAACGTCTTCGAGTCCAGCCAGAACAACTGGCTCCGCACCAAGTACATCCGGCGGCGCGGAGCCCATCGCCTCCACGTGGAGATGAAGTTCTCCGTGCGGGACTGCAGCAGCATCCCCAACGTCCCAGGCTCCTGCAAGGAGACTTTTAACCTCTACTATTTCGAGTCGGACTTTGACTCGGCCACCAAGACTTTTCCGAACTGGATGGAGAACCCTTGGATGAAGGTGGACACGATTGCCGCCGACGGGAGCTGCTCGCAGCTGGACCT